GGTCTTCGCGTAACCTTTATTTATAGCATATCTACCATTTCCCATATATTTGGCATATATGGTATATTTGGTGTTTCGCGCAGATTTAGCATATTTTGTAGATCTGCCAAGATCAGCGGATTGGATAGATATTATGGCGTAGTAAAATCAGGTGATTTATTCCGTCGGATGATTTGCAGTTGTTTCTTCTATTACAATAGAATGTTGAGCAACATTTGTTTGAGTCAATTCAGATTTGTTATTAGCAAAGAGATCTTTGTTTTTTGTGAGTAGTTGTTGAAGTTGCATCCTTTGTATATTTGTTAAACTTCTAATTGATGTATCTTTTCCTTTTGTTATTTCTATTAATTCATCATCTTCCTCTATTTGAGCTTTAGCAACTCGATAATCTTCAAGATCTTCATATAATTTTTGACAAAATGAATACTTTTCATTATTCTGTAATGGTTTACAAAAGACATTATCCTAGTCTTTTCCAGTATTTATCAGTTCTCTGAAATTCAAAATCGCTAAATTTTAAAAATTCAGTTAGATATTGTTGATGATTAATGATAGCTATATTTTCTTCTAAAGATACATTTAGATAATGCTGAGGTTCTTCTTCTGTCTCTTCAAGTTCTAGTTCGTCATATTCTTTTTCAAAAAAATCTATTGGTGATAAAATTTTAGGATTTATTTTTGTAAAGCAGATAATTGAAATAGTATCAATTTCTTTATTTTGCTTTATTATCATGATTTATTTTTCAGTATTGATAATTGCTTTTGCTTGGTTGGTGATCTAATCATTTCCAAATAGAACATTATATCCTGATGTTTCTGTTACAATCATATCTTCTTTAATTTCAAATTTTCTTATTTTAACACCAACTTTGAATATCTTTATTAATGTTGCAGTTTTCACTTCAGTAACACTAACAATTTAGACTTTAGTAGAAGCTTCTATTTCTTTGTTTACTAAATCTAGAAATCTTTTAGTAATGATGCATCTAACAGCTCCTGTGTTGATCATCACATTAATTCTTTTTTCAAAAACTTCAGCTTCAGCAAAATAAGCGTCCTGTAGTTTCCATTCTTCCTATTGAGCTTGAGTGATAATTGTTGATATTTTTAAGCTTTCCAAGATTTTCTGCATGTATTTAACATGTGTTGGTGTTATTTCATTTCTTTTACATTTATCCTCATATTGTTTGAAAGTATTAAGAAACTATGAGCTTTATTTATTAGGCTCAATATTTCTAAATGTAGTATTCATGCTTACTTTAGTAATATATACATCACAGTTAAATTTGGGATCATTGAAGATAAGTTGTGAAATATTATTTTTGATGATTAATCCTATTTCTTTTTCTGTTTCTCTTATAACTGCTTCGATAGAATCTTCATTTTCTTCTACTTTTTCTCCTGATACTTGCCAAAGGTTATACATTTCCTTACCTTTATTGATTCTTTTTGAAAGGAATACTCCAGCATCATTATAAATTAAATTCATCACATAAGTTGGAGTTTTTGATTTTTTGATTAACTGAAATATATTTATGGAATCATTTGATAAGCATTTATGATAGTTATAATCTATCCATTTGTGACATCTTGAGCAAAATGTAAAAAGACAATCTTGTTGATGATGATCTTTCTTTTGACATTTATAACAAAACATTTTAATATCTCCATTTTTAGCATGTTGTTTTAGAATCTGTTGTAGTTTTTGAATCTTTTTCTTTGTAATCATGTGACTATGATAATCAACATCATCAAAATTATAAATCAAACAAAGTGTGACATTACCTTGGAAAACATGCCAGTATTCTATAAGTTCATCATTTTTAAGGAGTTCATTGATATATTCTTGATTTTCTTCATATTCAAAATCATTTTTATGGAATTCTTTAACATATTCTAGTGGATTGTTTTATGTAACTTGTTTTTCAGTTTCTAGAGGATTTAATTCATTCACACTCTCACCTTCTGAAGATGCATTTATTAGTTTAAATGATTAACTGAAGAATTGAACTGTTGGTTTCTTCCTGAAAAAGATTGTTTGTTATTTTGTTGATTATTCCAATTTCTATTATTGTTATTTGGATTATTACAGTTATAATTATTATTCTGGTTTTAATTATTTTGATTATTATTATTACTTTGATGATTATTGTTTCGGTTTGATTGACAATCTTTTGCCATATGTTCATGTTTATTACAATTAAAACATGTCCTTATATTGTTATTATTGTTGTTATTATAATTACTATTATAATTATTATTATTATTAGTGTAAATAATATTATTATTCCTTTGCCTACTATCTTTAGCAATATGTCTTATTCGATTACAGTTATGACATATTCTAATGTCTCAATTATTGTTATTATTTCTGTTATTATTATTATTATTATTACTATTATAGTTTAAAGAATTAATTTGATTTAATCCTAATTTTCGTATGAGTTACTCCAATTTTTGATCAATAATTTCTTCAACAGATTCAGATATATTACTTCTGAAAGTATTAGTTGGAATAACAGGTTGATAAATTGCAAGACTTGTTCTGGCTGACACAAATTTTCTATGTAGATTTCTCAAGTAGTTTAGTATTAAAAAGTATGCAGATAATTCTATTCCCATTGAGTATGCAGTTTCTAATGCTAATGCTTTGTTAATAGCTTCTTCTATATTTTTAGACATAGATGATTGTACTGGAACTATGAATTCAGGTCACAATCCTTTAATGAATTCAGCAATTTTATCAGCATTTGTTCGATTGTTATATGGATAAATTCTTTTCCATAGTTCTGTAATTTCAGCTATATATTCGTCAATGATTTCTCCATTTCTTTGTTTTAAGTTTTGTAATTGATGTTTTCACTATTGCTTCCTGAAGATATTACAGTAGTGATCTTGAAAAAATTGAATAAAGGATTGGGTTAGAACAAGACTTCTCTAGTAGTGAGCTTCACATTGATAAACCAAATTAATGCTATTCCTTTTAGATATTATGGTAGAATGTCTAGCATTCTTTCCTCAGCAACTCTATTTATAGCATATGCTCTTTCAAATCCTTCTAACCATTCCATTGGATCTTGATTACCTCCTTTGAAAGTTAGAAAGTCAACAAGTCGAGTTTCTTTTACGATTGGTATTCTAGTAGGACCTGTATGTGTATTTAATACATTAGTAAATCCTAACAATAATTGGTTGAGCAATTCATTACCAGTATCTGAAGGAAGAGGAGGAGTATTATTTCTTCTTCTTTTATCTTCTATATTATTTGATCTTTGATTCGCTAATTCTTCATGGATTTCTAATCTATTTCCAGAGTAATTTTTGACTGCTTTATCTGATCTTGCTGATATATTAAAGACAGATCCTTGACTTTGATAGGTTGTTGAAAATAATTGTAATGTATTTGATGGGTTAATTATATTCGATATATTATTATTATTATTATTATTACCAGGTATATCATTTTCATAACTATTGTCAGACATATAGTCATGATTGTTCTTTTTATAAAAAACCATATAATATCTACAATGGGTTGCTTCAATTATAGTAGCTTTGTAATCAATTCTAAAGTATCTACTATTACTTGTAAGATGTGCTAATATTTTTGTTCTTTTCCCTGAACTTATTCTATTTTCATAACTATTTATGAATTCTGAGTCATCATCAATTTTATACACAAGTTCAGCCATTTCAATTCATTTTCTGAGGGATTCTGAAAAGGATCATTATTATTATTCTTTGGTGGTAAACTCTGATCATGAGAGGATGTATTGACTAATATATTACTTTTAGGCATTTTTGATGCTTTTGAACTTCTTCTTGAACTTTTCTTTGATGCTAACCTTGAATTAGTTGCTGAATTTATTGATGTTTCAATTTCCTAGTTATCAGTTTCTAAATAATTACTCCACTCGTTCTTTAATATATTAAGTAAGTTTTCAAAAGATTCTTATGCAAGTTCGTGATATTTTATTGAGGTTATAATTAATTAAAACACTGATTTAATACTACAGAATTATCTTTGTTTTCTCTAGCCTTTTTGAAAGCCTTTTCAGTAATACTTGTATATGAATTTCCTTTTAATGAATAAATTGTCAAGAAATACCAAAATCTTCCAAATTTTTCTAAAGGTTGTTCTGTTATTAGATAGTAGTGGATATAAGATAGATCTGGATTCTCTTTTAATATTTAATTGTTTTCTTGTGAGTATGCTTTACTATGTTTGATTATTATATTCTCTGATAATACTTTGATCGACTAAACATATACTATTTTTCAATTAAATATTCAAGAATTTCGTCAATTATAATCTTTAACTTATGAAGTCTTATAAAATCTTTAATTCCGTTCACTTCTTTTTGAATTCTTTGAATAGTTGCAAATATTATAACATCTTCTCTTTTGGCTATTTCTAAAAGATTGTTGAGTACCCTTATTTGTAATTCTAATTGAAGACCTTGAGATGTGTATAATGGTCTGAGTTTAACTTTAATGTTTGACATTAATTTTTACTAAAATCTCAATTTTAATTCCTAGTAAATCTACTTAATTTTGTTGAGTGTCCACCTAACCAGTGTTGTCATGGGACATAGTTAAGACACTGATGGGACACTGATGGGACATTGATGGGACAGATGGGACATTTGGGACATATATGGGACATAGTTGGGACATATAGTTAGGACATATAGTTGGGACAGCAAATGCTTGGGACATAAGAAATGGACATCACTGCACCTAACCTGCACCAAATTTGTTATATGAGTTGATTATGAGGTCCACTGACTGAAAAATAGACTTCAACACATATAATAAGATTTTAGGTATCTGAAGGATAATAATTTAACTTAATAACTTTAAGAACTTATTTGCATTAATAAAACTATTAAATTAATAATACTGTATATCAATTTATAAGTACAGAGAATGTTGAGAATATATATATATAAATTGGGAATATGTGTGAATACTTCAAATACGATGGGAGAGTAATAATGGATTGGATTTTAGGTCATGAGTTTAACAGATCAATGTTATAGGGATAAAGTTTGGTTTATTAATAAAATATAAGTAGATCAATATGATTCAATAAACTAAATAAGCTCTTGTTAGCGAACTTATCAATTTATGAATTTCACAATAAATTCTCTAATTAACTTTGATTAAAACTAAACTGAATTCAAATCTAACTATTTTTAAATCAAATCTACTTTTTCACTATTTCTGTCTGTCCTTAACTACAATAATTTCCTACTCTATTTATATAAAATATTTGATCTACTTCTATTACTAATTTAAGATAAAGTAAAACTATTAAAACTAAAGAAACATTATAAACTTTATTAACTTAGTTAACTACATTAACTAATTTAACTAAATAAACATAAGAAACTAATTAAACTTAATCAACTATGTTAATTTAGTTAACAACGTTATTATAGTTTCTGAGGTTTCAGTTATTTTGATTATTAGGCTGTAGCTTAAGAAATTACGGCTTTCTTTAGTAGTGAACTGCAGAATTATAATAGCAATAATTTTTTTCGAATTATTTCTGCTTCTATTAGTCCAATAACTTTGTATTTATATTTGTTAGAAAGCTCTCAATGAGACAATTCTAATGATTGTATTTCCATTAAAATTTAAAGAAAAACAAAGAAAAAGGGTTAAAAATCATCCTAAAGTTACTTCTGATTTGCTTACCTTAATTTCCAAAATAAGAATTTCCTAAAAAATCAAGAAAAAAGAAAGGAAAATACCACAAAATTACTTCCGATTCGTTTACCTTAATTCTAAAATAAGAATTTCCTAAAAAAATAAGAAAAAAGAAAAGAAAGGTTAAATTTTCGTCAAAAAATTGCTTTACTAAGAAAAAAAAAGGAAGAAATAAAAATTTTCAGAATATTCCGAAAGTTTATCAATTTTATATTGTAAACTAAACTAAAATTTTAATTAATCCAAAATTTAGATGTTATTTATACTATTTATCATAAATATTCAAAACAGAAGATTTTGCATTATCTGATTGCAAAATCAATGATAGTTTAATCATTCTTTACGAACAATTAGGGTTCCTCAAAATCAAATCAAATCAAATATTTGATCGAATCAAATTAAATCAAATTCAAATTTGATCGAATCGAATCGAATCAAATAAAAAAAGTTTTTTTAATTATTATAATGATATATTAAAATAAAGTTATTACAAAGTTTTAATTAAAAGATAGCTTTTACAAAGTTTAGTAACAGATACATTTTTATTAAGAAAAACATAGTAAAAACGCCTCCGCGACTTTGGAAATGCTTTTTTTACTAGGAAAAACATAGTAAAAAACGCCTCCGCAGCTTCGAAAATGCTTTTTTACTAAGTAAAATATAGTAAAAAACATCTCTGCAGATTCGGAAATATATAGTAGAAAACGCCTTTGCGGATTCGGAAATGCTTTTTTACTATGTTTTCTTAGTAAAAAACATCTCCGCAGCTTCGGAAATGCTTTTTTTACTATGTTTTACTTAATAAAAAAAGCATTTCCGAAGCTGCGGAGGCGTTTTTTACTATGTTTTTCTTAGTTAATACTATCTCTGGATGGTTTTACTATTGATTCAAATTAAATCAAATATTTGAATAGTTGATTTGAATTTGATCGAATCGAATCAAAGATTAATTTGGATTTGATCAAATAAATAATTCTTTGATTTGAATTTGATCAAATCAAATATTCAAATATCAAATTGAATTGTAGAACTCTACGAACAATAGCAAAATTATTCGAAAGGAATAATAATTTGATTGTTCCTTAAGAACAATATAGAAAATTGTTCTAAAGGAACGATAGTTTGATCGTTTCAATAGAAAGATATAAAATATCGTTCTAAAGTAATAATAAAAAATCATTATTCTTTTCAGAATGATGATAAATCGTTCTAAAAGAATGATAAAAAAAATCATTTTTTCAGAATGATAATTTAATCGTTTTAAAAGAACGATAAAAAATTATTGTTCTAAAAGAACAATAATGTATCATTCTAATAAAATGATGAAAAAACATCATTCTGAAAGAACGATAATATATCATTTCTTAAAAATGATGAAAAGATCATTCTAAAGTAATGATATTGAATTGTTCCAAATGAACGATTGATAAAAAAATCATCGTTCTGAAAAAATGATGAAAAAACATCATTCTTTTCAGAATGATAATTTAATCATTTTAAAAGAACAATAAAAAAATCATCATTCTAAAGGAACGATAATATATCATTCCAATATAACGATAACAAAAATCATTCTTTTAGAATGATAATTGAATTATTTCTTTAAGGACGATTTCTATCATTCCTTTGGAAAGAATGTTAGTTTCTTTAGGGATAATTTCTGTTGTTCTCTTTAGGAATGATATTTTGTTCCTTTAGGAATGATTTTTATCATCTCTTTGGGAATGAATGTTCATTCCTTTTGAGATGATAAAAATCGTTTCTTTGGAGACGATTGTTTATTCCTTTAGGAACAATTTCTATTATTCCTTTGGGAATGATTTCTATCGTCTTTTTGGGAATAATTGTTCGTTCCTTTAGAGAGATTCTTATTGTTCCTTGAGGATGATTGTTTGTTTCTTTAGGGACGATTTCTATCGTCCCTTTGGGAATAATTTTTATCTTCTCTTTGAGGAACGATTACTTTCAGAATGTTTTTATAATTTCTCAAAAATCAGCTCAACAGATTTCGACCAGTGAGATACAGTCGATTTGTTGCCAAATCTTAAGTCTAACTGAAATTTTGCTGAATATTATAACCAAAAGGTCTTAATGCTGAAATAATGCTAAATTATGTAATAAAAATTGTTAATTTATCAAGTTTTATACCAAGATCATTAGTAATTTTTTCTAGCACTTCAGTTGGTCTGATTTTGTATATTTTTAAATTCATCCCACTTTTCATGCCAATTAGGTAAAAAGTTGGTATAGCATTCTTTTTCCTATTGTTATCTCAGAATCTTTCTATTAGCTATTTCTAATCTTGTAGCATTTTCAAAAGAAATATTAACAATCAACGCATTTTTTTAATTTTTCTAGTAATTTTAGATAATTAATAGCATAGTCTTTTGCAAATTATGATAATTCTGTTGCTATTCTAGATTTGTCTGTACCTGCGTCAGCTAAGATAAAATAAGCCAGAATTAATATTTTATCGATTCTTTTTGATCTAAAATTATCATAATGATTCAATAATGCATCTTTAAATGTATCCATCAATTCATCGGATTTCTGAAATTGCCAGGATAATCCGTCAGTATTCAATAACGGTTTGGGTTCCACGTATTTCATTTTTTTCTGTAATTTGCCTAATAAAATGTAAATTAATATTAAATAACAAAAGAATGTGGTAAAAAAAAAACAAAAGAAATGTTTTGATTTTAGAGGAAACATTAAGGTTAATTAATTTTAAAAGTATATAAAAACAATTAAAATTTAAAATTTAGAATTTCAATTATAGTTATTGAAGGTGAATTTACGAAATCAAACTCTACAATAAAATACATGAAAATAATTTTTTATAATTTATTAATTTGTTCATTATCTTTTCTCGTTACCTGTATCGTACTCTTTATCAATTTCATCCATCAATTTTCTTTGTTGATAGCTCACTTCCTTTTTCAACTTATCTATTTTCTTTCTCATACTTAGTTCCTTCGCCTCTTCCAGACACTGAATAGACATTTCCAATTTTTGTTTAAGTTCATAATTTTCTTCCGTGTTTTTTAAAAAAAATTTTTTTTTTTTTGATCGGTCTAAATGGAAATCCGCAGGTCTTTTGAATCGAAGGATATTTTTTTTTTTTTAGATATTCACGAAAAATGTAATAGTAGAAGTTTAGATTTATGCCGAAATTAACATGTGACAAATAGGAATTTAATTCCGTCCCCAGAAAATGCACTTTAATTATCAATGCGGATGTTACAGACACAACTGGAGTTAGTGTCCAACGGTCATTAACGAGGATGTACCCAATAAAGAAAAAGTGCAATGCATTTTGTATAAATTTGGAACGCGCTATAAGATTTTGTTGTTTGATAGTTTGATATTATGAGTTGAGCTGATGTAATAATATCTTACAATTGACTATTTTCAACACTTAAAACGAATATCTTGAATCATTATAAATCACACATAAAATTAGATTATTTGTTTTAATTTAGCAAAACAGAATTAATTGGCTTGTAATTAGTGCTCCAAAACATAGACACGCACGGTTGTTTATGGATAACATAATTAGAAATATATAACAAACAACCAAAACAAATAAATAATAAAAATAGAAAGAATTTAATAACATGCAATTCACATATCGATGACCAAATAATTAAAGATACAAACAAACAATAATACATCCATTAAATTATTTTTATGGTTAGCCAAGCCAAATTAGACGGACTATCTTTTTTAAAATACAAAATCACGTGTAATACAAAGTTTTAAAGACATTAAGATAGTAATGACATCTGAAAATAGGAGCAAGTAGTTGAAATTTGTGAAAAATGATACTTATTATTTGCATCATACTTTCTTGCTTGTGTTGTTCAAATATTCTCATAACTTAATATCGAAGAAATCGAACCATATTGACGATTATATTTTATTTATAATCATTTAATCATATAGTTAATAAATTATTCAACATAAATGAACCGAATAAAAAAATGTCAAATATTATTTATAAAGAATTTTTTTTTTGTTTATGGATATTCGAATATGCAATATCACGATATGAATTAAATTAATGTAAATTATCTATCTAGTTTCACGTCAAAAGAAATTCTATTGTAATTTGGTAACCCCATTGGAGATTGACGATCGCCATTTTTTTGCTTTTTCAAATCCATTTGTAGCTTTATCATAGTCGAACATTGTTTGAAATATTTCTTCTTCCGAGTTCATAACGAAAGGTCCATAATTTACCACAGGTTCCTAAATAAAATTTTAAAAATATTTAATATTCAAGTTTTAATGAGAAAACGAATGTTTAGAACTTTACCTTCAATGGTTTTCCTGCAAACAACATAAATCTTAAATCTGTGTCTTTTGCCTCTACGGATATATGATCTCCATTGTCATTCTCCAAAAACAAAGCATGATGTTCTTCACCTTTAAATTGATTTCCACCAAAATAACCAGTACCACTTAAAACGTAAATAAATCCCGAAAAATCCTTTGAAATTGTTTGTTCAACCTTTTTTCCTTTTTCAAGTTTAAAATCCATAAACATTGTTGGAGTTCTTGTAAATACAGAACTCTTTACTCCGAAACTTTCTCCTGCGATGATTTTTACTTCAATTCCAGGTTCAGGTTTCGCTCTTGGAATATCCGAATCTTTTAAATCTTGATATGCTGGTTCAATCATTTTGAATTCTCGTGCTAAATTTATCCAAAGTTGAATACCACGAGATGACATCTTTGAAGCGGGCATTTCAGCATGGACTACGCCACGACCCGCGGTCATCCACTGTACGTCACTGTGTGTAATGATGAAAATATTCTAGAAATAAGAATTTTTTTAAAAAAGGGATCAAAGAATATATTGAATTTTACGTACCCAGGTCCAATTAATCCCTTGTTTCCTCCAAAATCTTCATGTGCAATTGCTCCTTCTAATAAATAAGTAACCGTTTCAAATCCTCGATGAGGATGGTCGGGAAATCCTGCAGGTGGTGTAACTTCAAATATATCGCACATCAAAAATGGATCTAAAGTTCTTGATTCACCTATACATCTTCGAACTGTAGCTCCCGCTCCTTCTGGTTGACTCTATTTTTAAGCGACATCGAGTTATTAAAATAGTTATATTTTGAAATTTCATCAGCTCATATCATCTTACCTTGGCGAGAAATGATCTTGCAATATTTCTGGATAAAGTAATGGCCATATTTTAAAAATTGTATTAAATTTTTTTGAATAGAGTTTCGTGAAAATTTAACTCTTTTTATATATAACATATCCGATCGCTTTGATTACTAATTCATTATTCAATGACAAATTCATGATTTCTGGATTTACCTAGTATAAACGTTTAACCAAAATACATGCCGATCAAATCCAATTATATAATATCTTTTACCATATTAGAAATGACATCGTCCATTTTAAGAAACGATTTAAATTTTTTAAAAATGGAATGGTTAATCAGCGATTACAAAAAAACTTTAATATTTGTAATTTTTTTTTTTTAAAATATATGATATAATTTGAATGGCATCTTATATATATTTAAAATTAGTAAGAAATAAAATATGATAAATAATCAATTCTTATATAATTTAATGAATTGTAATTATTTTTAAAATAAAATTATTAAATAATATAAATTTCTCTGATAGAAATCATGACAAATTATAATTCAATAATATTTAAACAGTATGTTACCAAAAAAAACCAGAATTAAATAAACAACTTATAATTTCACAATGACAATAAGTAATCAAGTAAAAATTTTATTATCAAGTCATAATTTATACCAGGGTTGGAATTTTGTATGTACAAGATAAAATTAATACTACGTATTTATACTAATTTTCTGGACGAAGTGAAGGACTATAGAAGTCTAATCATCTGCCGCCTCATCCAATGAGATATCTTCCTTCTTCTTATTTGTCACATGATTAATTTCGGCCAAGTTTTATAATGCCAGCCAAAATTCAGTGGGGATGAAATATTTTTGTGGTGATACTGGGGTCTCTATGTTTTTACTCCGAAATTATGTCACCAAACCACTAACTGGGGAGATAGTTCTGCACCAACAAATGGTACCATTTCCTAGTTTTTATATTAATTATTATAATGTATTAACTGTACTAACTCTGAACTTCCCACCCTGACAATAAGTATGTTAATAATCGTTTCATTATTTAATATACAGTATAAGTTTGGGTCACATGTGATGATGCTACGAATTGATTTTTTGATAGCACATGAAAATATAAAAGGTTTCCGATATTTCAAAATAAAATAGTTACATTATACTGTTGTAACAAAACATAACCTTGGTCTCATTTTATTTAGCAATATAATGACAAAAAATAAATGCAATGCCATGCAAGACATTTGGCCAGCTTCGAATAGGACGTTAGCTTTTAATAACAATCGAGCTTTAAAAATTTTCAACACAAACTTCTTTAGAATATGGATTGTTGGTCATTCTAAATAATAACTTGTACTTTTCTCGTAATCATCACTTATGGCACCCTAATGATCAGAGGATTTTCAAAGTGATTTCTCACATTTAATTATAGTTTAAATACTTGAATATTTATGAACCAAAACAAAGCGAACAGCAGGCAACTATCCAAGTAATAAAACAATTAGTTAGATAATTTGAGATTTAATTTTAATATTGGACAGAATACAGTTCAAATCTCTATATAACGATATATATAAATATTTTTTTTAAAAACTATCGTATCAAATTAAATCGATATTTGTACAGTAGTGGCGGAAAATAATGATAATTTTTAGGTTATATGTTTTTTTAATCAATTTTTATTTTATTTACATGTTGATGGTATATAATGTAATACTATATGCAAATAAAAATAAAATTTTAATGGTTAATTATTTGATCCTTCTTTTCAATAACGTCTTCTAAATGGTTTTTCATACCCGCACATAATTCGATAGGAGGTCTGAATTAAGATTTTTCCATTTAGATCGAATAATTGACAAAAAATCATTTAATCCAACTGGTTTTTTTTGTATTATAAGTTAATTTACCCTTTTTCCACCCTTTTTTTTCATTATTGCCTATAAGTACTATATGGGATTAAGGTCCAGAGAATAGGGCGGCCAATCAAACACTCGCAGACATTTTTCTTGAAGAAGAATCATTGTTAATTTTGCTCTGTGCTTGGGATCGTTATCATGTTGGAATGTCCACCTTCTTCTAAGAACTCTAGTAAAAAGATTTTTAGTTAAAATATCCCGATAAAGTTCTCCATTCATATTTTCAGTAAAATAATGAAACCCCACAATTTTGCGTGCACAAAAGCATCCTATGAATGAACTTTAAATGGATGTTTTACAACTGCACGTCGTGGTTTTTCTTCTCCAATCTTATATCTTACTAGTGTTGTATTACGAAATAGTTGAAACGTAGTTTTATCAAAAAAATGAATTTCCCAATTTTCATTTAGATGAGATTTGACCATTCAACCTTACGTTCTTTGGCAGCAATGGTTAACATTGGTATTGATGTTGGTATGCAAACACGATAACCTAGATTAAAAAGATTTTTACGGATAGTTCTGGAAGCAAGATTAAGTGTAAAAGCAATTTCCTTGCTAGTTGCATATTTTCTTGTGCTAGGTAATTTTCCAAGATGAGACCGTTTTTGAAAACAAAGTTTTGGCCTTCCAGCATGTGGTTTTGGTCTAACAGTACCAAAATTTTCAAGTTTTCAGATATAAGTGTATAATGTGGATTTGGAATATATATTATTTTATGTAATTCATTAATATCATGGACTCCATTTGCTCACAAATTGCTTACAAATGACCGTATTTCATTTAAAGAGAGTTTTTTTGTCATAATTTTTTTTGCCAATTTGTGATTATTTATTTATTTATATTGTAAATCACGTGTTGGTTTAATAATTACGCAAAAAACAAGGAGTTAACTATTAAAAGGAAATGATAATCAATGTTGATCAAGTCACGTGATATTATCATCACTAGTATATCGGCATATCGAATATCGATATATCGTGGTTCGTCAATACTTTCATACCTCTGGTTTCAACATTATCCAATTTATATATTTTTTTTTATTTTCAATGTTAAAAAAATGTTCTTTTCAGAAAAAACGACGGAGGTTATTTATATAAAAAGAATTTGCCGAAAAAAGATCAGATATGAATTGGTGATGTTAAAAATAGATCACGTGTTACTGACAATAAATGTACTTTTCGTTAAAATCGTTAAAATCATTTCATTTTTTACTAATTTTCCCTTCTCTCTAATTTACAATCTAAAAAAATCTAAAAATATTTGAATTGAAATTTCATTTTAATAAAATAAATCACATGCTCAAAATAAAGAAAAAGCAACAAAAAATTGGCTTTGAATATTGTTAAAAATTTTTGAAAAGATTTGAAATGTTGATGCTGTACGAAATATAAAATTAGACATCAATTATCTCAAAATAATATCAATACAACAAATTCGAGTTGATAGTATGGACCTTACAAATCTCAAATCTTAAATCACAAAATTATGCAATAACAATAAAGTAAAAGGAACCATTCTCAAAAATTAATTTTTAACTAGGTTTTTTTTTTTTTTAATTTAGTCATAATACTTTTACAACTTTAAAATAAATTCTAAAATTATGCAAAACGTTAAATTAATTGATAAATAATTTCCAGTTACGATTTTCAAATGATATGATGGAATATTGATATTATACCAGGAAAATTCAACTCCAGTAGTAAATTCAGTATAAGATCTATAGTATCAAGGCGAAGGATTAGTAAACGGAAAATATTTAAAATATTCACATAATAAAATTTTAAATATTTTTTAAACGGTTGAAATTACAAGAGAGGTATAATAATGCGTATAATTCTTGCATTTTAAATATATTTTAATAATCACAAATATAAGATACTAAAACAAAGTCTATACAGTATACATGCATTATATAAATCATAAAGTAAAGTGATTATTCTGCTTTATCAAAAAAAAAAAATTTAAGTAAATATTCATATAAAGTGTTAATCCGGGGTATATAGAAAAATAATATATAAATAAATAAAACAATTAATAAATTGATAAATAATACGAATTTCATATGAAGGTACTACATTTTGACTATCACTATCTTGAGTAGGATTATCAACTAGGCTTGCACTAAAAGCCAATATCATTAATGTTAGATCCCAAATTATCAGTAAGAAACTGTCTCAAGTGAAACTCGAGGTTTTCCTTATGCTTATTAGAAAACTCCAAGGATTGTTGTTGCTGCTGTTCGTTTTGTCTTAATCCAAAGAGATTTAAGTTTAAGTATTGAACAATTATCGAGTGTGAAAACATTCTACAAGTTACTTGGTAAATCTTTTGATCATTAGGATGCTGAAAATAAAATACAAAAAGATCGTAATAGTGATGATCACGAGAAGGATATAAGGTATTGATTATAAGCTCATTAAGGGTTATCTCTTTATAATTGATAAGATAAATTTGGAAATCATTGAATGGCCTGTAGTAGAATGACCATCCAGGCACTTGAGAAGGAATTTGAGGGTTTGTTGACGTGCTATTTGGAGAATTTGAGTCTTGCATAGCATTGATATGACTGTTACTATCTGGATTATGTGAAGTAGACATTGTTGCGTTTAGAATAATTTTTTGCTGTGCCACAACTGTTATCAATTTGCTGCGTCACAAAGATTAGTTGATACCAATATAACTTTTTTTTTTTAAAAAAAAAAAATTAAATATAATTAATTAAATAAAAGAAAGAGTGCGAATTTAAAATCTCGTTTTCTTTTAATAAATGTTTATTTTTATTATTTTATATCAACAAAACAAAAATATTTTTTTTTTCGTAAAATTAAAGGATTTCGCATCATTTATATTATATGGTTTTTTTTAAAAAACGGAAATTATTTATATATTTCCTCCGAAATCATTGTTCTCATTATTATTCAGCTTTTCACTTAATTAGGTTTGATTTAGAAAAAAAAGAAAATGATGAGATGCCGATGGGATACTTAATATAGAAATGATAAACGGTAATCATCATACATTCTGACCATCTTCTGATTTGTCTTTCATCTGATAAATTCAGTTTATTTTTTTTATATTTTATCTATTCTGGACTGCCGGATGAAACAGATTTGGTTTGTTTTTTATACTGTATCTAATCTGTATGAATAAACTTTAAGAACAAGCAGTATCTTGGTGGGTTTTTTCTTGTTTAAGATGTTTACTAACATTTTTTATTCTTTTAGTTTCAGCCTACATGAAAAATTATTTAATGGGGACGCTTATAAGGGTAATTGTTTTTTTTTAAAAAAAAAATATTATGCACAATATTACAGAAAAAGCTACATCACCAAAAAATCACCGGCATGTGATCTGAATTTGCTTATCATTTCCAAAAATAGGTAATAAATTTTACCGAAAAAAAATTGAATTTATTTTTTTGAAGACTACACAGATTCTAAAATCGCATCTTATATAATTTTCCCTTCTCTAAAAATTTACTTAATGAGAAAATTGATGTTTTCAATAAAATTTTCTTTGTAAAGTAACTTTTAAAGATAAAATATGTAAATTAAAAAATGTATAGAAAAAATGATTTCAAAAGTTGAAGGGAATTTAAGTTGTTTTATTTAAAACCAACAAAATTTTTTGCGAAAACTAATCTAACTAATTTAGATAAGATCAGCAAATAGATCACGTGCCGGTGATTTTTTAGTGGTTTACGCTGGGGAAGTTATTTTTGTCGGTGCCCTTGGGCTAGTTATGATTTTCCGAGCTCCTGTGCCGCAAATTGGGAGCAAGAAAGACAACGCCAAACTATTTACAATTATGGAATGAAAGTATATGTAAAGGCACCGAAACTCATAGCATTACAAACATCCTCTTTCAAAAGATAACGGTATTTCGAAAACAGTGAAGTGGGCCGTCCACGGAAGATTACCGGTAAATTTTTAAATTCCCTTGTGCAAAGTATCCGAAGAGATAAATCGATTCAACGAGAACTTTAACCAAAAATTATTCCGGACGGGGTCTTAGCTACTCGTGTTTATAAAAAATCTCTTCCAAGGGCAACCTCAATGCTTACTGCTGATAAGCAAAAATGTATCGAATGGGCGCAGAAGCATATTAATAAACATTGGAATACAACCCTTTTATCAGATGAAACTACCTTTTAACTCTTTCGAAACACTGTAAAGCATTATCATAAAGACATTCGGCCGATAGGTCCCATGCCAAAAGACAGAACAAAGATTTTGCATGGGAGGATTTTGTGTAATGGGCAAAACAAGTTTGTTTTGCTTCCGTTGAATAATGAATGCTGAGTTTTATGTTGAAATTCTTAAAAATCACATTCCGGAAATAGACGTAATGCTCGGTGATTATTGGCAGCTTCAACAAGGAAATGATCCGAAACATACAAGCTTTCTTGCTTAGACTTTCTCCAAGACAATGTTCCGGAAGTCATGGATAGGCCCTCAAATAGCCCTGACTTAAATCCAATAGAAAATTTATGGGCTATCATTAAGGGAACTGTAGGACATCGAATGCCAAAAATCTCAGTGAATTAGAGAGATAGATGGAATGGAGGGCAATTCCAGAAACAATGTTGCGGGTTCGATGAAACGTCGAGCTCATTATCAAAGATAATTGAGAACGAATCTCCTATTAATTTATGTTTCATCGTGAAATTATAAGTTTTTATTTAATTTTTGTAACACACTGTATATAGATTAATAATTAAAAATTTTAAAATAATAAAATAAATTAAAGAAAGAACAAAATTACCATACCAGACAAACCCGAAAATAGAACCTAAAAAATAAATTAAATATTTAAGTTAAAATAATTTACATATATATATATATATTTATGATAAAAAATAAATATACTGTAATGTAATGTAAGCCTTTATCATTGGAAGAAAATTTAAGAACTAACGTTAAAATCAAAAAATAAAAATAAAATAAAAAATCAAACGTAATTACCTAAACCTTAATTGCTACGAAATCGTGAAAAATGAAGTAAATTAAAAGAATACAAATATTGAATTTTTTAAAACAAAAGCTTTACCGATTAGCTATATTATGATATTAATTAATTTTTTGTTTATATAAAATTCAATCTGCACGTACTCATTTATTTCTGAAAATAGTAAGAATTTAAAAAAAAATTTTATTTTATTATTCCTCCAAAAATTATTTTTTTCTCCGTGTAATTTTATAACTATACATTCGATTGTTCATCATATCCTCTTTTTTACTTTATAAACAGAATTTCGTAGAGAAAAATTTCAAAACGAATATCGTTTAATAAAACTAATATAATTTATAATTCAGAAAATTAATAATAATAATCACTTTTTACTCGAATATTTTTTTTAAAAAACAAAGGAAAAACTGTTGACAATCCTTAATGCACGTTCTTAATTGGTGATATTTTTCCTCACTCCTAAGAGAAACATATATAATCAATTCAATTGATAAAACTAAAAAGAGGTCATCGATAAATTTCAGCTGGACTTACTACGAAATTGCAAAATACCGCATGAAGATTACTGAAGTTTGTAATTGCTCGAGACAAGAACCAAGAATTTTATTGCCCAATCCTTCAATAAAATGCAAGCCAGTTATTATCTTGTAGCGTATAATTTATTCTGAAATTTTATGACAAACTTTACTGATAAGATTTTAAGTCAGTTAATTTAAGCATAAATAAGGATTCCAATACAATCCATATGAGATAATAAATAGTGAAAAATTATGAATGAGGAAAATTTATAGTGATCAAGTCTTCTAACGACAATGCTTTTGCCGTTTTAAAGGATCCGCTCAATTTTTTTTTTACCGACAATCATTGTTATCGATGATCACGATACGATATTTTACCGACGTACTTCGCCGACGATCATTTGAACGATTATTTTACTGACAACCAAAGATTACAGCTAATTTAGAGTAGTTTTAAATATTTTTTAGTTGCATTTAATGCTTTATATTATAAATGTTTAAAATTTTCTTTAATAAAAATGATTTGTCGGTCAATTGACTGTTTCTGTAAAAATTATTATGTCGGTCAAATGATCGTCGGTAAGGTGTTCGTCGACAAAATGGACCTATAATTTTATATCGCGAGATTAATTTATTGAATTGCATTTTAAACTACACCACTTGAATGCTAGAAGTCTTATTACTTCATATGACCGACGTACTTATCAATTATGAGATAAATCAGACATTGATATTAATAGTTCGCTAATTTGAATACAAAACATTAATAAATTAACTATATACCTTCGCAATTGATATATAAATTCGCCTGTTGTTGAAATGCGAGGAATTCCTATTCATTCTTTAGAAGTATCTTGATTAATTTGCAAATTTATCCATATTATGTAAAAAAAATTATAAAACCTTGAACTATATATTAAAAGTCTATAAAATATTTTTCAAAAAATATCAAGGTTTATAAAAACCTGATTTAAGTAAATTTTTTATTATTGTAATTTATTTTTATGTTGACTCCTGGTATAACAACCTCTAATACATGTATATGTAATATATGTAATTAACAAATTTTCTTGCCCCTCAAGATCAAAAAAGTTTTATAATCAAAAAATTATTAAGCTTTTATATTTTACTCTTTTCACATTAATAAGTTGGAATGAAAGCAAACTTTATTTTGCTTGAATATTTGAGTGCTAATCAGACAAATTATATAAACGTGGTTCTATAACTAATATAAATGAGCTTCCTAAGCATTACAAGAAGAATTGCTTTCGCTAGCCTTATTAATATGAGCTAAAATGGAAGAATGTAAAATTATTTTCTTAAAAAATCAAAGAAATTAAAAGTTTAATTTCTAATAATTTTAATAAATTGAAACTTTTTAATTTAGAAGAATGATGCTAAGCTTTGATGCAGTTCAGAGGTTGAAGCAATTCTTGGTAAGATACATATCAACATAGTTTTAAATGATAATTGAATATTAGATAATAACGACCATGAAATGTCAAATAAGATTGATTTAAATTATCCTAATCATATTATTTTCAAAATGTCAAACTTCAAGGCAACTCTTAATCTAATGAAATTTTTGTTTTGTTGTGAAGAAGATCCTGAAATTGAAAATAACAATGTTAACATACTTATCTTATAAATTAAAATCTAAATTATTAATCACACTTTTGAACATATAGGTGATATGTTATTAAAATTGAGGTACATATCATATGATTTACTATGTCTCATACTTTAATTTTAATAGTATACCACCAGGAGAGACTGTATAGATTACACAAAATTTTGATTTTGTCATATGTAATTAGCCAATCAAATCATAAAATTTTGAATATTGTTACATATAAACTAACCAATCAAATCAAAGTAAAAATTATATATAACAAAATAAAATTTAAATTGAGCTTAGCCTTTGAATGCCAAACTCTTATATAAATCCATAAATACTTAAAAACCTGCTCAAATTATTTTATTTGTTTAACTTTATTTGTTAATATAAAATAATATTACTATAGTGTAAATGACTTAGTCACATCAAATGGCTAAACCACTACTGAAAATCTTATCAATCATTACCATATTAAAATCAAAATTTGATTGGTC